ATTTTCTAAATGCAACTTTTCATTGTATATTCTGTCAAAAAAAAAAAACAAAAAAACAAAAAACAACCCACCAACTACTCTCTGGTGGTACAGATGCAGAGACCTCTCAGTTGCAGCACAAGCAAATGGTAAATACCTGTATAGATTGAGCTATATTCTTAGGGGGCTGCCAGTGACATAGGACTCGGCTTCAGGGCTTTCTTACTGCAGGAGTCAGAGTTATTAAAAATAACTGTTCACTTTATGTTGTGAACGCTCAGCTTCAAAGTTGCCTCTGCTTTGGTGACATTTCTGTCAGGGATCTAATATAAATTAGCTTATTTTATTTGATCATTCATACAGACAGATATGATTCCCGAAATCTCCACCAGCAATAATCCTGACCTACGCGCCCCCGCCTAAAAAAAAGCATTGATGGAGACTGGAACATGTGCACGACATGGTGTGCACCATTAAAATTTTGTTTAGATTCTACTCTGTACCGTAACAGTTAAAGAGTGACACTTGTTTAAACAGTAGGCATTTAAAAAAAAAATCCCCCTAAAAACGTGGGGAGAGTTGATTTAGTCTATTTTGTGATAGCTCCCTGGCAAATGGGTGGCACTCCGGGTCCCACAAACACAGTGTGTTAAGACTTGGGCAGGCAGCAGAAAGAACTCCTGGTCCATTCTGAACCCTGTGAAAACTGCACTGCAGCTGACCCACACCAGGGTTTTAGCAATGGATTAGTAGGTGAGCTGAGTTAAGGGATGCTGCGGCTGTAAAACTTCTGAGACAAAATTAAAATGGAGCAGGAAAAGGGGGGGAGCGAGAGAGAAAAGTTGCCCTGATAGCGGCTGAGCTGTCAGGAGCATGTGTGTTTCCATGGTGAGTGATTTATTGATGTTTATCAGGAATGAATAGATCAAAGGCTGCCAGATGACAGGCGATCAATCACACATCAAATCAAGGATGGCAATCCTCTAATAAAACAGAAAACAAGGAAAACCAGCTCCTGCCAGTTCCTCCTCCAGAGAAAAATAACTTTTCTGTTCAATCAGATTCTGCACTATCACTGCCTTGTGCTGGCCTGATCAAAAGACATCTTTAGAGGTAATAAAAAAAAAAAAAAGAAGAAGGTGGTGGGGGGAGAATCAGAGAAGCCTCTCGCACAGGACATTAAAGGCTGCTATTTTGCAGAGAAACCCTCTGACCACATTCCTGGCGTCCCAGGCTAGTGACCTTATTTCCAAGTGTCAGGTTCAGCCTCCCGCCTTTGGAGGACTTTTCCAGCGCGCTCTGGCCGCCGAGCAGCAACTTCATCCCCCAGCGCACGCCCCCTCCCGAGGCAGCAGGAAGCCCGCCGCCCGGCCTCCCCGGCCTCCCCGGCCTCCCCGGCCTCCCCGGCCCGTCGGCGCTTCTCCCGCCGCCGGGAAGCGCCGCGAAGTTTCTCCGCCGCACGCGCCGGCCCAGGTGGGGGCACGCTCGGACCGAGACGGCAGCCCGGGGGCGAGCGCGGCCTCCCGCCCCGGCCGCCCGCCCGCCAGCCCGCCCGCAGCCGCCGGAGAGGGCGCCGCCGCCGCGCCCCCGCCCCCGCCCCCGCCGCCCCGCGGCCCCCGCCCCGCACCTCGGCCGCGACCCCCGCCCTCCGGCCCCCGCTCCCCGCGCCCCGCATCCCGCGCCCCGCGCCCCGCTCCCCGCGGCGCGGGCCCGCGCGCGTTACCTGCCGAGCGCCGGGGGGCCTGCTGCTTCCTCCTCGGCATGCTGCTCGGGCCGCCGCAGCCGTCGCCTCAGCCGCCGCCCGAGTTCGCGGGGCGCGGGGTCCGGGGCCCCGGGCGCGGGCGCAACTCCGCGGCGCGCCCAACTTTGGCCTCGTCCCCGCGGGCTCCGGGCTCCGGGCTCCGGGCTCCGGGCTCCGGGCGCGCCGCGGACCGCGGGGCGCCGCTCGCATGGACGGCCGCGCCCGGGGCCGCTCAGGAGGCGGAGGCGGCGGCGGCGGCCGCGCGGGCCGCGTCCCGGCCGCCGGGCTGCGGGCGGAGCGCGCGGGGCCTGGGCGCCGAGCCCGGAGTCATCCCCGGCGCGGGCCGCGGGCGCAGCGGAGGGCGCTCGGAGGGCCGGCCCGCGGCCCGCGCTCCATGCTGCCGCCTCCCGCCGCCGCGCTGCTGTGGCGGGCGCTCCTCGGGCGCCGCTGCGGGCGCTGCCCTGCGCCTTCCTCCGCGAGCCGAGAGTCTCCGAGCGCAACTTTCTCTCCCCCTCGCTCCTCGCTCCTCGCTGCTCGGGGGTCGCGGCGAGTGGGCTTAGTGCGCGGGTCGCAGCCTTCTCATTGTGCGCCAGCGAGGCCGATCCAGGCTGTCCTTTCCTCCCGCACTTAGTCTAAGAGGAAGAAAGCAAACAAGACAGAGGAGTGAAGCCCCCGTACATACATGCGCCGGGGGGAGATGTCAGGCGCTGCTCCACCTTCCAAACAGTCACAGATCAAACAGTGTCACCCCGCCGGAGCGCCACTTGGTGCCTCGCGCTCCCCGCGGGGCTCTGCGCCGGGATCGCCGCTTCTCCCACTGCGAGATCTAACGCAAACACGTTTCGATCATGGATTTTTGGCCGGTCTTGATCTTCCGACAGAAAAATTTTGAAGAATACACAAAAAGCACTCCCCCCCCTCCGAAAAAAAAAAAAGAGAGAGAGAGAGCCAACAACAACAACCCGGAGAGTGTGTGCAGAGGGGCGACGAGCGGACATTCACTGGGTGGGCGAGATGAGCGTGGACTGTCCCCCCCAAACTCCTGGGAGAGAGGGAGATGCACTCTCGCTCTCTTCTCTTTTCAGTGAAATATAACACACATTCGGATCGCAGAGCTTTCAGACAGTCTCAACTGATAGACAGACACATCGAGCTGCTTTTCCTGCTTCAGTTTTTACTCCTCCTCCTCTCGCCAACGTCACCCTGACAATTACAAATAGGTCTCTCACAAACCATACCTGTCAATCTTTTTAATTGCTTTGTTTTCTTTTTTTTTTCTTTCCGGAGCTAAACAATATGACACAAAAAAGAAATCTTAATACAGCATAACATAAAAGATTGCACGTTGGAGAAAGGCATTGAGGGGTTTGTTATTGTAATCCACTGGCTGATACCGGGTAAAACCCATGTGTTATAAGCCAAGTTCAGTAGACACTAGTTCCTGCAGATTTTTAAACCTGTAAGTCCACCACCCCCACCCCCACCCCCACCCCCTTGAACATTCACACACACGCACCCACGTGGACACAAACTATCCTTGGACGAGAATGCCCGACACTGGAGATGAAAATACCTGTGTCGCTTTTGCAGCCTTACTGGGGGCGGGGGGGGGGGCGGTTAGGTTTGATCGGGGAGGGGCACTGCGTGGCTTTTTTATTTGGGTGATTCTAGGTTAAGTGTAAAACAAGAGGGTTTTTTAAAGTCAAAACGTGTATACCTTTAACACAAATTTTAAAATGGGCTCGACTCATCACACGAAAATGTGGAAAATAATTGAATTTGGTCCCTCTATGAAAAGTAAATTGGTTAATTTGGTCAATATAGACAATTAAGGAGAAAACTGACATGAAGGAACGACAGATCCTTCTGGCTGGGTTATAAAATGAGCTCTTCATCCATCGTTGCAACGTCTCCAATTAAGTCCTTCGGCATCCCCACCTAGAAGTTTGAATGCTTGTGTGCTCTGAGAATTTGGCCCTCTAGTCTCCAATATACGTGCTCTCTCCCAATGGGAAACCCGTAACAGTCTTGCAGAGGCTACTTGAGACACTCATGGAGAAACACGAAATCTAGGCCAGAATAAATAAAATGGTTTAGTTGGTGCAACTTGCATGGGACAGACAGGCTGAGGGCAGGAGGCGCGGGCAGGGCGTTCCGGGAACCGGGGCCCAGGAGCCTGGGGCGCTGGCTGCCCGGGCTTCCCCGGCGCCCCCGCCCCGCCTTCGGCGCTGGTGCGCGTGCCCCGGTGTCGGGGGCTCCCCGCGCGGCCCGGGGCCCCCGGCCGTGCCCCGCCGCCCGGGCCGCGCTCGGGGTTGATTCGTACCACCTTGCAAGGAAGTGAACGCTTCGCACGGGAAGGGGAGGTGCCTGCGCCGGCCGCCGGGCGCCGCGCCGCGCCGCGCCGCGCCGCGCCGCTCCGAGGACGCCCGGGGCCGCCGCCGGCGCGGGGCCGCGGCGATCGCGGGACGCGCGGTTCCCCTCGCCGCCCCCCTCACCCTGTTAGAGGAGTCAAATCCGGCTTTGGGAGCGCGGGGAGGGTGGGGATATCCGGTGCCTCCCGGACGCCGGGAGAAAGGGGGAGGGCGGAGAGGATCCTCGGCCAGTCTGCGCCGAGCAGATTCAAACCAAAACAAAAAGATTAAAGGAGCAGCGGCCGGGGTGGGAGCGGTCCCCAGGCCGGGACCCCGGGCGTGGCGCGTCCGGGACCCGCGGGGGCCGCGCGGACTGGCTGCGCCGCGCGCGGCGGGCGGGGGGGGAGCGGAGCCCGTGCGGGTGGGGAGGGGGGAGTCGAGGGGAGCACGCGGGCCGGAGGAGGGGCGGACCCGCCCGCCCCGCCCGCCGGCGCCGAGCCGAGCCGAGCCGAGCGGCCCGGGGCTGGGCGCGACCCCGGCCCGCGGCGGCGCAGACAGCGGGCGGAGGCGCGGGCCATGCTGCGGCTGGCGCCCGCCGGGGCCCGAGCCATCGTGGACATGTCGTACGCCCGCCACTTCCTGGACTTCCAGGGCTCCGACATCCCCCGCGCCATGCAGAAGCTGGCGGTGACCCGGCTGAGCCCCAACTTCCGCGAGGCCGTCACCCTGCGCCGGGACTGCCCGGTGCCGCTCCCCGGGGACCGAGACCTCCTCGTCCGGAACCGGTGAGCCCGGCGCGCACCCCACCGCCCCCCCTCCCCCCCGGCCCGGCCCGGCCCGGCCCGGCCCGCGCGGCGCCGCTCCCCGGCCGTCCCGGGCCCCCTGCGTCCCCACACGCCGGCGAGCGCTCGCGCGCACCGCCTGACTTTGCGAGAGCCCGGGAAGTTGAACCCGCCGCCATCTGGCGAAGGCGAATGTGATGTGACTGTTGCTGGTGTGAATATCCGAAGCCACCGAACGTCCTCTCCTCGTAACTGAGGGTTATTTTAATTTGGGATTCCCCTCCCCTCCCCCAGCCCTCCCTCCTCCCCCTCCCGCTCCCGAAATAAAACCGACGGGACCCAGAAGGGGAGGCTCCCCGCCCGGCCCACCCGCGCGCACCCACGACTCCTGCGTTCCCGTAATGTGCAGTGCGGACCGGGAGCGCGCTGGACACAAGCTGCGACATTTAGGTAACGTGCTTCGGAGGAAGGAGGCCGAGGACCGGGCTGGCTCTTCCTGTGCGCTCCAGGTTGGCAGCCGCCTCGCAATGGCGGGGCCTGTCGTTGGGTGTGTTGGTGTCCACCTCGCCGGTGTCGTCTGCGTGTTGTCAGTGCTGTGTGGCTGTTGTCTGTGCCCCGGAGCCCACCGGCAGGCGCGTGGCGCGTCCGGGGCGCCTGGGTCAGGGCCGGGGTGGGGGCATGGCTGCATTTGCCTGCGCGTCTTGCAGACCTTTGGGTGGCACTCGGATGGTTGCCCTGCTTCTGAGCGTCTCTTGCACCGCCACACTCCCCACCTTAATGTGTTTACAGCTCACTAGTCTTTAGTACCTGGTGGAGCGCGGGAAGGAAAGGGACCTCATCCTGCGGGAGCCGTGCCCTCCGGTCTCCGGTCGCTGGGTGCCCTTGCTGCCTGACTTGCAGGCGGGGCGTCCCCCACTCCTCTCTCCCCACGTTAGAGCAGGACTCGCCTGCCTGTTCAGGCGCATCGAGGGGTTCCCGTGTTGCGTGTTTCAGGCTAGAACACCCGATTGAAGGAAGTCTTGAGTTCTGAGTAACTATATTGTAAATTGTGTTCTGGACAGGACTGTGAGCCCCCCCCCTCCGCAAAGAGTGAAAGGCATAGGGTGCCCTACCTAAGTTGGCTTGCTGCACCGTTTAATCCGTTTATTTTAGAGATTCGTATCAGCCTTCCAAAGACTGCAAAATGATAAAAAAAAAAAAAAAACTTTTGGAAACCTGTTGGAAAAAGTAAAAATTGAGGGAGCCAGGAGTGGGGCTGAGTGAAGCTGGCTCGGGGAGGGATGCAGAGAGTGCCTTAGAAGGTGGATGTACGTCCTCCTCAAAGTTTTTGTGGGTGGAAACAGGGCTGCAGAAGTTAAGGCGCTAGAGCTGTTGAGAGAAGGACTCGCATCCTACCGAGTTCAAAAGAAGGAACACGCACAGAACACACAAGAGACACGAGTGATCTGCTGGAAGTTGAGATGAGAAGCAGGCTGAACAGCCTTCAGACTTTAACAAGCAAAAAGTTTTACATGGGCTGTTTTCTTGTGATTTTTCTGATCAGGTACACTGATCTAAAACACACACCAACGTTCCGACCAAATCCCTTTTAGAAATCGGGTGTGAAATAGGGAGGGGGTGACCGAGGGGAGCAGGCAGGAGGAGGTGTGAAGTTAGAGCACGACCAGCAGCTGGGAGTGGGACCACCCGCCAGCGCTCACCGGGCAGGCTGTTCCCGCCGGGCACAACCGGTGCCGGGCCTCTCAACCTGTGAAGTGCATCAAGTCCTCGGGGTGTCCTCCCCTCCTCCGGCTCCTCGCTCTCTCCTTCCCCGCCAGTGCCCGGGCGCCCCCTGTGTCGGGTCACCAGGGATGATCCCTGAATTTGGTGGTCAGGGTTCTGGAGCACCAGCTCTCCCACGTTTGAACTCATCAGTTTGGGTGGCTTTAGGATCCATGCCTATCTCTTCCCTCCACATCTGCCAACAGTCCCTTTAACACAAATGGTATATTTATATGTACAACTTGACCTCTAACTTCCATGTTGAAGCCGACATCAGAAAATGGGGCCAGTTTTCTGCACGTTGAAAGGAGCTGAATCTTTGCATCCCCTTTCCCTACTCTGTGGAAAATCTGCTCCCATACCCAAATTGTGAGATACCTTATACCTGGCAAATAGTGTCAGGGAGGTGACATTTTACAGATTAAAAAAAAAAAAAAAGACTGCAAGTCTATTTACTGCAGGTTAGTTCATTTTAATCCTGGACCAAATCTCCCTCAGAACTGTGCTAATTGCATAAAAATTTTACGCAAGCACTTTTCATTTTTATCATCATAAAAATCTGCTCTGGAATGAATGGCAGAAGCACACATTCACTTTCTCGGAAAGATGTTTGGAAATTTTAACTGTGCTGTCTGACTTCTTGGATATTTGTACATCTCATTCCATCTTAACAGAAAATACAGATACGGAGAGGAAAGTGCTTTTAAGCCAGGCGTGGATTTAGGATAATCTTTCTTCCATTTAGGGAAAGTGTGAGAGGGGTGCATAAAATCCCTGCAGAACATGTAATTGGTGTTCCTTTATCCATGTCTCACATTCATACATCCGAGGACAACTTCACATGCCCTCCCGAGGATGCCCAGCCCTCAGGAAGAAAAAGACACCCTCCGGTTAAGTCAGCTTGTGTGCTATTTTTAGCTTTTTTCGAAGGATGGTGACACATTATTTCGTTTCCAAATATTTCTAACGATTTTCTGCTCAAGTGTATGATAATGGAGCAAAGAGTTTGTAGGAATGGCAAAGAGTGGGTGGGGGATGGGGAAGGCGTTTTTGATAAACGGTTTGTTGCTCACGGGAGGGTAACAGCATTTCTGCTGAATCTCCAGGCCGAGATTTTCTTTGCTTTATTTTTCTTTCTTTTCTTTTTTTTTTCTCATTTTTTCCTTTCCTTTTCTTTCTTTTCTTTCTTTCTTTCCTTCTTTCTCTCTTCCTTTTTTAAAGAAAATCTGATCTGGACACTTTGTGCCCCAATGTTGAAGGCTCCGGACTTCACATTTTGTTTTTGTTCAAAGAAAGCATTTTCCTCCGTCTGCAGGATTGCCTGTTTCATCATAAACATGACGAAGGGGTTCCGCACTTTTTAGTATAAATAAAGCGGGCGCCTCTCGAAGGGTATATATTTGGGGGAAGCCCGCTCGGTCCCGTTCTTTTTCCTGGGGTTCCTAGATTTTAGGCTCCCGCGTGGATCCTCCCGTCGGACTGCTGGAACCCTGCACTTACTAAGAGCATACATTTTAAATCAAAGAGGGCACAAGGAGAGTCTGGAAATGCACGGTTCTCCCAAGCGTGTCTTTCCTTTCTTTCTCCCGCTCGCTCGCATGTCCCCTGCTCCCCGACCCGGGCCCCCTTCCCCCGAGCCTGCCGCTCTTGAACTTGTGTCCGAGGAGCGAGAGGCGCGGGCGCCCGACCCTCCCGCAGCCCTCCGGAAGCCCAGGTAAGGATGCAGGCGCAAGGGCGGTCGCGGATCCCCACCTGCTGCGGCGGCCGCGGGGGTCCACGCGGGGGTCCGAGACCGGGGGTCGCTCCAGGGGCCCGGAGACCCTGACGGGGCGAGCGGGATAGCCCGAGGCTGTGGCCAGCAGCCCGAGATCCTTCACCGACGACGCAGGCAATTTGGAAGACGGCACGGCGCGGGGAGGGGGGAGGGGGAGACACGAAAACGGGGTGCGCGTGAGGCCAAGGGCCGGGTCTGGCCGCCCGGGCCGGGTCGCTCCTGTGGCCGCTGCGCCCCAGCGCGCCCTGTGCTCGGGGGACCCCCCGCCCCCCGCCCAGCTTGGCCGCCACTCGGTCCCAGCTGCCTGGGTGCGCCCAGCCGACCCCGCCGGGGCCTGGGAGGCCGAGGTCACGGTCACCGGCCCCTCCTCCCCGGCGCCCGCTGGCCCGGCCCCAGCCCGCTCCGCCCCGAGCCAGAGTCCTCGGTCCGGCCTCTCCGGTGGCGGTGGCGGTGGCGGTGGCGGTGGCGAGGCCGCGCACCTCCGAGGGGAAGACGGCTCCAGAAGGACCTCAGGCGCGCACAGGCCGCCCGGGTTGCACGCGAGGGCGGCCAGGGAGGCGCAGAGCGGTCGGCAGCCTGGACGGGGCGCGCCCGGGCCCCGCGAGCCTCCCTCCTGCGCCCCAGCGCCGGCCGCGCTCCACCGCAAGGGCTCATTTGCGTGTTTTGAGCGAAGCCGGGTGGTAAACAGGCTGCGGCTGGTCAGCTGCAGGCACCCAGCTCCTCGCGGAGCCCACTCCCCTCCACTTGCCCTCCCCCCCTTCCGCGCCGCGCTTGTGCCCTCTCCCCTCCACTTTTCTCCCTCGTGCCCTGCTTGGTTTCCTCACCTCTCCCCCGGGGAGGCAAACCACGGGGGGGGGGGGGAGCACGTAACTCCAGCAGCTCCCCCCCTCCACGAGGCGCGCTCCTGAGAGGTGGGGGGACCCCGGGGGCCCACTGCCGCGGGGGGGGGTCCCCTTGGGTGCAAGGCAGGGGTGCCCTCTGAGGAAGGGCCTCTCCAGCTGGGACTAAGGCTGGAAGGGTTAATTATGGGCCAAGAGACCAGAGCGGCGGTAGGGCCTACGTCCCCCACCTCTGGAGCAAACCACCATCACTTCCAGCCCACCCCTCCTTGGACTTGGCTTCGAGGCCTAGAGCAGGGGCTCGGGAGGCCAGATGCTCTAGCGGGGCGCTGCCCTGGCGCCTTCGGTGAAGTCCAGAGGCTTGCTCTGAGAAGCTGGCGCTTCCCAGAAAGACCAAACCTTGAGAACTATGCAAATGTAAAGGGAAGATAGCAGGCCCCCACCCCCGCAAACAGCGTAAGCATCCTGGTCTGAAATCCCAAATGAAAAGCCAGCAAAAATCGTTTTTCCTACTTTGCATGATTGCGTTATCATGGATGGCTACGGAATTCTGTAGTGTTATTGAGGCTGTGTGCTGTGCTAACTTCTGAAAGCAGCTTGACATGCCCCAAAGAAATTGTTTCCTTTCTTATTTCTACAATATGTAGAGAGCTTTCAGTATTGTAGATATACAGGGGGCATGATCATAAGGGAGCATTTATAAGTGCAAAGTGTTATCTGTGATACAGTGGAAGTGGATCCTTGCACAGGGGAATTTTGGTTTTATTAAGTTAAATTAAAAGTGAATTATTTTTAAAATGACCTACTTCCCAGCTTTCCTCCTGCCACCAGATACCACCATCTTTTCATGTCATTACAGGTGGAAATGACATTTTTAGGGTCCTCCATTATGTGTCTAAGCCACCTCCTGACATTTTTTAGCAGACGCCTTTTTTTTTTTCCTTAGGTATCAGGATATTTTTGTTATGAGGTATACCGAGATGAAAAAAAGCTGGTAAAAATACCGACCTCGCAATTAAATTGACTCTGGATACCAAAGTGAAAATAATCATCTGGTATTAATCAAGTTATGTCTCTGCTTCTTGTTGAGGAAAAATATAGTGACGATTTGCTTTCCTTTTCATCTGAAAAGGACTCTAAGATGTTGAATGTTCCATAAAAATCTCTACCCTTATGAGACAATTTTTGTTCAATTAATCAAAATGCATATTTTCATGCTGGACATAGTTACATCAGAAAGAAAATTTGCTGCGGCCACTCCAACAGTGTTTTAAACAACCCTGCAGTAACATATAACAACCGATGACCTTGCACATTGCGTCAATCTTCAATAATATCATTGTCATTACTGTTATTATCCAAAGTGTTAAATTGTTGCCAGAATCAATACAAGTCTACTTCTTTGAATATATTTTATCTGACTGTTGTTTTTAACATCTTTGTTAACAGGCCAATTAATTTCCAACTCAGAGGTCCAGTGAAGTTTACGTATAAGAGGGCTTCCTGACTTTTTTTTTAATGGTTTATTTCTGCTTTTGAAAGAAAGAGAAGGAAAATAAATAGCATGTGTACTAAAAACCTTGATATTTAAAGTGGTATGAAATTATCACTAACCTGATTAAAAAAATAAAATATACCAAAACTCTGATTGCAAATACTTGTTTAACTTCTTTTTTTTCAACTGAGTATCAGGACTGATCCTTTTTGTTGTTGTTGTTGTTAATTTTACCAGGATAGACAGCTTAGCCACCCATCCACAGTCACTGGAATTAGAGGGATTTTTCTAAATGGAGTATCAGGGCCTTGATGAAAGGAACATATTAATATATGTGTGTGTTTGTTTTCTTCTAGATTTGTCGGTGTTAATGCATCTGATATCAACTATTCAGCTGGCCGATACGACCCTTCAGTCAAGACCCCCTTTGATGTAGGTTTTGAAGGTGTGGGAGAGGTGGTGGCCTTAGGCCTCTCTGCTAGTGCCAGGTACACTGTGGGCCAAGCTGTGGCATACATGGCACCCGGCTCTTTTGCTGAGTATACTGTGGTGCCTGCTAGTGCCGCAGCTCCGGTGCCCTCCGTGAAACCTGAGTATGTCACCCTGCCAGTAAGTGGTACCACCGCATATATCAGCCTCAACGAGCTCGGAGGACTGTCAGAAGGGAAAAAAGTTCTGGTGACAGCAGCAGCTGGGGGGACAGGCCAGTTTGCTGTGCAGCTTGCAAAGAAGGCCAAGTGCCATGTTATTGGAACCTGCTCTTCTGACAAAAAGTCTGCTTTTCTGAAATCGATTGGCTGTGATCGTCCCATCAACTATCACACTGAGCATGTCAGTACTGTCCTGAAGCAGGAGTACCCCACAGGTGTCGATGTGGTGTATGAATCCGTCGGGGGAGCCATGTTTGACTTGGCCGTAGATGCCTTAGCTATCAAAGGGCGCTTGATAGTAATTGGGTTTGTCTCTGGCTACCAAACTCCTACTGGCCTTTCGCCTGTGAAAGCAGGAACATTACCAGCCAAACTGCTGAAGAAATCTGCCAGCGTCCAGGGCTTCTTCTTGAACCATTCCCTTTCTAAGTATCAAGCAGCCATGGACCACTTGCTCAAGATGTATGCGGGTGGAGACCTGGTTTGTGAGGTGGACCTCGGAGATCTGTCTGTGGAGGGCAGGTTTCGTGGCCTGGAGTCTGTATTCCGGGCTGTTGATTATATGTACATGGGAAAAAACACTGGAAAAATTGTAGTTGAATTACCTCGCTCTGTCAACAGTAAGCTGTGAAAACAGAACAATGACATAAATCAAAGGAGAAAGAAAATGGGCACTTTATTCCTCAGAATTACTCAAATCGAGTGATTTGTAGTTGGTTCATGGGTATAATATTTCTTGAAACAAAAGTAAGGTGTTAATGAATAAGTTTCTCTTTCTCTTTCTTTTCTTTTTCCCCTCCCTTGAAAAAAATGCTAATAAAAACTTCTCTTGATGGCTCAGAGGTAAAACCGTTACATTCAATTCTTTGGTCATGGACAGTCTCATTCCACATTTTATTGTTCCAGGGAATTAAATTAATTCCTGATGCAAGATCTGATCAAATCAGTATGTCTTCAGCTTGATGAGATTTTAAAATCGGTCTTGAAAATAGTTCACAAATTCTTTTACTTTGGGAGACAGTTTGGTTCATCTGCTAATGAGCAGTTAGTAAATGGGAGATATGGCAGAAAGATAGCCATGTATTTTCAGAGTTTATATTCCCAGGAAATGGCCCTTCCTTTTCTATCAATCACCAACTACCTACCTAGAAATTTGGAGGAATTATCCCAAAACCTTGACTTTATTAGATCATTAGAAAAACGACGGAGTCAACACAGACCTATTTTTTTTTTAAAGTATCTGTTAGTAAATGCTTTATGCACAATTATCCCGGTGAGGCCTATGTGGAATGGAAAGTTTCTCTCTACCCTTAAGAAGCAAATTGGTGTTGAAAACTGGATAAGACAAAAGCAGACTTTGGAAAAGGATACCACAGAGATGGGGGGGGGGGGAGCTTTAAAAGCTTAGTACCTGCCTGGGGAAGGAAAGGGTATGCTGCATCCACCCGGGGAGGGTCTGCATTAAAAAAAAAAAAAAAAAAAAAAAAACTTGCACCACAAAGGGAAAGCACTCTCTAGGCACCCTGCCAGAGCTTAATAACAGCATCCCTCAGATGCCTGAAATAGGATGCACCAAACAGAACCATGCAGAGGAGGGACCGATGTGATCTAAAATAATAAGACGTTTGCTTCGTGTTTCAGACTTACGGACACAGTGTGTTTTATCTCTGATCACCAAAACAGAATAGCGTGTGGAGCAAAGAACACCGTCCCTGTGTCCCCATTTTACTTCTCCGCGCGCTCTGTGCGAATGAGCTGCTCCCTGTGACTGCTGCCCGGTGTCACACGTGAGCATAACGTCATGTGCCTTCTCTTGTGAATCATGCCTGCAGCCCATCTGCCCGCCTCGTAACCTCCAGCTCACCAAAGGATGCTACCGCTTCCAGCGCGAAGTTGGAAATCCGTAGCGCCCTCCTAATTGAAGGCAAAGCCCACCAGATTATTTTTCAAAGCCCTGGGTTTCGGTGCATCTCACACGCTAGATAAATAGGAACGCAATTAAAGATGCTCCAGGAAACTTGGTGACCGTATTTAATTTTTTTGTCTCTCTCTCTCTCCTCCCGTTGGAGGTGCGAGGAAATCCTCCTGCTGAATAGCCGTTAGTATCTATTTTACAAGATTTACTCATTTTCAGGTACCTAATGTAGCTGCTAGCATGCATGCACAACAATACAATTTATATGGTAAATGGGACCAAATAATGGCTTCACTGAATGTTATGGCTGCACTGAAGGGAGATGTCACGGTAAATAGCCGCCAAATTATGGATCATGCCGAAGTGTCACAACTGCAGTAAAGACAAATAGCACTGGAGGCTATTGCCACTGTGACGCTTTTGAGTTATGAAGAAGGGTAGCAGCCTGATGCGAGGCTCTTTGTGTCCTCATTATAGCAAGGGGTTACTAGTGCAAGGTACAAGGAAAGCTGGCCCAATGTGGTGCTCGGTTATTAATCTGTCCCTTTCAGCCCGAACAGCGACGGCCAAGCGGAAGGAGACTTCGCCTGGCTTTCAGATACACAAACACACACAGGGGAGGGGACAGGTTTTATGAATGTAAGTGCACAGGAAGTGACTGGTAACGGGAAGACATTGTAATCAAATCAGGCCATCAAAGAAGATTATTGCATTTCACATAGTATATGTTGCTTCCCACACAGATAGATGTGCGAAGTCTCAGCAATAATGCACTTTCTCCCTTCGTGGGGACTTGAGGAGCAAGGACACACTGCCAACTAAATGGCTTCTCTGAAACTGAAGTGCGTCCCGGTTTCTTTCATTTTAATGGGAGGGTAATAAAGATGAAAGACCAACATTTTCACTGATGGATCCCTTAAGCTACAGAATAGAAATTTATGATGTTTTGAAGGAATATACTAAAATTCAGCGACGTAAAAAAAAAAAAGAAGATGAAGAAGAAGACTCCCAACACCCAGGTTTAAAATAAAATATAATCTGAAAGCCTCATGCTTCCCTTCCCAAACTCAGGAACTACAGTGCATGCTGTTTTCATTTATTCTTAGAAAATAAGCATGAAAGATTCCGCCCATTCAGATAATGCCAAAAATATGTTGAAACTTTTTTTTTCTTATTCTTCTGAAAAATGATTTGTAAATTGAGGGTCATAGTTCAGTATCAGTTTCATCTTCTGGGATTATCGTTCAAGACCAGCCTCTAATGGGAGGTGAAATGGTGCGATGCTCTCAACACCTTTCTTCTGAACTGTATTACATATCACAAAAAGTACATCCATAATTCAGGGCAATTGTCAGTCTTTGTTTTAGAGACAGGGCTGGGGCTGAGCGATCATGGTGGATGAATTATTTCTCGGTTCTCAGGGTGGCCTTCTCTGCACCTCAGGCTCTAGGTCTCTGGCCGGGCAGATGGAATGCTTTGACCAGTACATGTGCCGAGAAGCCATTCCATTGTGACTTCTAAAAAAACCAAATGCTACTCCTTCACATTTGTTTTGCATGCAAAAAAAAAAAAAAAAAAAAAAGAAGAAGAAGAAGAAGAAGAGAAGAAAAAAAACAAAAACAACGGTGTCATTTCAGGTCTCTTTGAATGATGACTCCTGCTAGTAAATATTGTCAGCATTTAAAAAAAAAATTCAGGGAACAGTTCACAAAGAAATGACACGGAAGGTTTGCTTGATATGCTCTATACATTGTTATTATATGATTTCATCTGAATGGAGTTTCTCAAGAGTAGGAAAGAGCCTCTATAAATGGTCATTAGTATTACATTCAGTATTTATCTAATGAAAGTGCAGTGACAAGTAGCTGCTTCTTATTAAAATGAAAATCCTGCATTATGTACTTAAGGAACATTCCAGCTAATGAGGATGTAATGTCCTCAGTACAACACAGACCTTCTTTTTGTGTTCCCCACCACAAGATGCTGGAAACTTGACAAATGATATCATTTAAGACACATGCCTGCCGTAGGGACCTGCTTTTTGGCTTCCTGTTTCTGGCTTTTATTTGGGTAACATTTATAATGGCCACCCGACTTGTAATGGGTAATGTTTTAACCCCTTCGTAGAGTTCCCAATTAGCATGAATTTACTACATTCGGGGTTTCCTTTAAAATGGGGCAGGGGGCGTTTAGCACTGGAAATATTTTTCTTGATCACTTTACCACATGTACATATGGGATAAATACCATATTCTAAATTTATATAAAAACAGATGAGCAATGTGCAACTTTCAGAAAAAATACGATAGAGACCAAGCACTATCAACTGTGGATGATAATTTCCTAGGGGTTACAATACACATTTTATGAATGTAACCCAGATGTGAAATGGCCTGATTTGATAGGTTCCTAATCACTGTTCTCTATCTTTCCCCCCTCTTCTTTTATTAAATATCATTTGTTATTTATAGTACTTACTTAGAGATGTAAAATTTATCTATGCAAACATTATTAGTTAGTTTGGGGGGTGAGGATTTGTTGGTTTTTGTTTTTGTTTTTGTTTTTTTGAAAGTTTGATTTTCTGTAACGTTTTAGTCATGGCCCAGAATTAAATATTTAGGATCATATTTCAGAATTCAAATGGGAAACTCTGGATTCTTAATACCATGGATGTGGGCATTTTAAACTTTAAATTCTATTGCTTACTAGACCTTTAGCATTGTTATTTCAACTTATAAAGAGAGGAATGCTCTATATGAGAACCTTACTGCTGTTGCCATGAGCAAACTATGGGACCCTGCCAAAAAAAAAAAAAAGTGCTGCACAAAATACACAAAGAATACATTTACCAACAAGTAATTCTTGATAATAGAGAGTTGATATTCAAGGAAAGTTGAATAAGGTGTGTGCGTGAAGTTTCTGTGTCATTCTTTCACTAGATCTGGGTCCTGATGAGCCGTGACAGTAAGACTGAATTGGTGTAAATACTGTCTCGCATCTGTTCCCAATGCAACGGTTTATGCCAGCGTGGACTTGCCCTTCAGTGCTTGCTAATGCTTCTTGAGTGGCATGGACACTCCTGGGAAACGGGTCTTCGATCCATCACGTGGGAGGGTAAGTACCGCATGGAGTACAGTTTGGGGGAACCAGGATGTGCCTCCGAGGTCCTGGGAAACGCTGAGCCAAAACTACAGAGATGCCAACAGCCCCCCAAAGTCAGTGTTTCCCTTGAAGGGCACTATCTGACAGTGTCTTTTTGCCAACATGAAATTAAAATAATAATTAAAACGCACCCTGCTGACTGGTGGTAGCATCCAACACAAAATACGGATTTGTGCTTCAAGCTCAGAAAAATGTTCCATACAATTGTCAGCCACTGCCCAGCCTCCTCTGCTCCACAAAAGCCTGAAGCGTATGTTAGAATGACTTGAATTGCCCGGGCACTGAAGTGGGCACTTGACAGGATGAGCACTGGGTGTTATTCTATATGTTGGCAAATTGAACACCAATAAAAAATAAATTTATAAAATAAAATAAAATAAAATAAAATAAAATAAAATAAAATAATGACTTGAATTGGAAGATTTCTTTGGTCAGTGGCAATGCAGGCAAGGGTGAGGGCATCCTGCTTGGAACAGCCTGCCTTGCCCTCTGTGTGCCTGCCTCTGGGAGGAGCCTGGGACACTCTCTGCCCCTCATCAATGAGAAGACTCAGTTGTCCTCTAGATAGTAAAATTTGAGCTTTAAAGGACAATCCACTACCCATTGTATAAATGAAGAAACCAAGGCCCAGGAAGGATGATAGGTGCCTCGTCTAGGGTCACCAGTTCACTGGGCTCAGAAATAAAGCTAGAGCACAGGCAGGTGCCTTCCCCAGGCTCCGGGCAATCTCTGGCTTATCCCCTTTATAATTTGTCTAGGTC